CAATTGCAATCTTTTCCTTTTCCCTTTTCGCTACAGGAACTCTGTGTATTGGCATCTGTATGGGAACAACATCAGTTTTCACCTTGAAATGAACTGGAGGTCCCATGGACCCCACCCCTTCAAAGTTTTCTGGGTATTCCTTCAGCACGTTGTGCTTAGTGAGTTGACCAGGTGGAGGTAACATCCTTTTCCTTGGTACTACAATAGGCTCTGATGGTGCTGGAGGTGGCCTAGTGCATTGTCCAGGCACCTTGGTGTGTATAGTCTCAAGATGATTGCATGCACATAGACTACTGGGATCTGTAATTTCCATTTGTTTCTTTTCCTCCATGCACATGGATTCATTTGATTCTTGAAGATTTGATGAACCGCAGTCTGGTCTGCGTGCCTGAAACCCTGGTAAGTCTCCACCATCTGTAACATCATGTACTTTAGAAGTCAAAGTAAATACCTCATCAGCTTCAATCTTTATCAGTCCAAGATTTTCACTGTCTTGGCCAGAAAGTAAAGCTGGCTTTCCTTTTAACTGATCATGGGGAAGTACTTGAAATGTCAAAAGTTCAAACTTGTTCTTTCGTTCACATATTAAACTGACCTGTCCCAACGGGTGAAGGGGCTTTGCATCACCATAAGGATGCAATATGAACGGGGATCTCTGAATAGTTGCCTCTGGAAACATATCTCTAACAGTCTGACCGGAAATGGTATTACACGTGGCTGCAGAATCTATCTGGTACTTTACTGGTGTAAACTTGTTTCCTGATGTTGATGTTGAGAGGTAGACAAAGTATTTCTTGCCCATTTTGTTTGTGGTTACATTATATGCCTGCTGAGTTTCTAGTGAGTATATCTGGTACTCATCCCCCTGTTCATAGTCATCAGTGTAGTGGCATTGTGCATCTAATTGATGAGTTGACTGGTGACTTTTGCTTGTACCTCGACTTTCCTTGTCCTGGTTTTCACGCTGGTTTGTGTCCCTTACGTACCCTGTATTTCTCCTACCACGACCCTGGTTCCCTCTACTTTGTTGTTGCCCCCGTCTTGGATAAGAAGTGGGGTTGACAGGATGTTGCAAACATACCCTGGCAAAATGGTCATTTAACCCACATCTCACACAGTCTTTTCCTTTTGCTGGGCACACCTTCCATGAATGAGGGCCTCGTCGATCTCCACACCAATGGCATGTACCTGGCTCTCTCTTCAGCTTCATTTCTTTGTGACGAGTCCAGTGTACCTGTTCCTCAATATTCTTGGATGATTCACCAATAAGTTTATTTGCCTTATGTGCAGATTCAAGGGCTTTTGCTTCACTGACAACATCTGACAATAACTTTTTACTATTGTCTGATTTCAAGTGTGTCTTTAAAAGTTCAGTTCTAATGTTGCTGTCATGCAGACCAAATACAAATTTGTCACGACACATTTCATCTCCTACTGCTGCATAGGCACACAAGCTACCTGATTGTCTGACCTTGACCTCCCATTCTTGTACTGTTTCGTGTGGTAGCTGATTAGTATTCCAAAATCTGAATCTATCTGTCATCAGTGAACTACCGACTGTCCCTGTGTAGAAGATCCGTAACTTTTCCATCCATACCCATGGTTTATTCATATCTTCTTCTACTATTTGAGGTTCTATAGTGTATCTCACGACCTGTAGTGCTTCATCTGGCATCGCCGACCTCAGCGACGATATTTCCAATTTTGGCTTCTTGTAGTATTCTATTTGTTCAGTATTTGGGTTTTTATCTAGATTTCTGTAATCTGCCTGAATACAATAGTCATTGAACCTAACTTCAAAGTTCTTGAAGTTTTCAGCCACATTCCCCGAAAGCTTGAGCTCAGGTCGCTTTGGAAGTCCCGCCATTGCATGTGTTCGTAGTTGATTCGAGTTTGAAACAATCTGGCCTACCTCCGCTTCAATAGATTGCGTGATCCCACTTCTGACACCAAGTTTCCAACCTCGTTGGACCAATGATAAAGACACAGTTCAGTTGTCTTTATTTGTAGAAGCTTTATTACGCCTGACGATACACCGGGACTCACAACACATGCGGGTCGCCATCTTTTCCCGACCATCCTACTTCCGGCCTGACATTCGCAAACCTTCGTATTTCCAACAATCGGAATAACTCGGAAATGAACATACTAACAATATCAGGGCGGCCTGTAAATAATCGATTTTGTCCCTGACACCTTTACCAGTGGTTGATTTGGACAACGTCCCATGCCTTCGGGACATTCGTGACCAACTTGTGTTATTCGGGGACAAGCAGTGAGGTTACTGAAAGGGGCAAGTGGTGACGAATGGCCGTCGGGGTACAATAAAACACAACCCACCAAGTCACCGATCCATTTAGTTGAATCATACAATATGCATGCATAGGTTACTTTTGGTCAATAAACATAACCAGGAATCCCCAAGTGTTGACTAAAAAAAAACACCCCAGGAAATATTGTTTTTCCCGAACGAGAGCGAGGGTAATACATTTATTCTTAGACGAGTTTCGTAAAATCAGTATGACAAACATGCGAGTGTAATAACTTCTTTGTTACCTATTACTTCCTAATCCATCTGAGCTTTCCTTTAGAGAAATGCACTGATCACAACCGCCGTCTTAGAAAACCACAATTGTCAAATGACGTAAACCGTCTTCAGCTATGACGTCATTTCTAGTGTCAGAATAAAACTTGAAAGACGATAACAATGCCGCCCGGATGACATACATATAGAATACTAAACGGGCTCCCGTGTAATACCAATATTATTAAACGAGTGAATAGTTGTATCTGACGAGCGAAAGCGATTCAGATACCACAACTATTCACGAGTTTAATAAAATTGGTTTTACACGGAAGCGAGTTTAGTATTTTATTTATTAGTTGCCATTTATAACGTTTTTAGAATTATACTGTTGAGTATGAATAGGCTGACACCTACACGATCCACGGCATAGTCCAATTGAGTTTAGCAGAATAATACTTTAAACACGTCAAAAGTTGAAACGTATTTAATACCATACAACGGTTCACCTTTAGAATTCACAAAATTATCGTAGGGCTAAGACTATCGCAACTCACATACTTTAACAGACTAACGACTGTCGTTGCGCTACAATACGATCGCCTTGTGGAACGGGCCTTGCACCTCAAAGTTTACAATAACGTCACAATACCAGATGACGTAATTTGTTGAATTTTGTTGCAAGATCCATCAGCGAAACAATGCAGTGTGACGTCCTCTCAACTCAACTCCACAAGCAATGTCGTTGAATAAGCCAAGGGATGTTGAGAGCTTTCAATATTTGTTCGTGAAACGTGTTCCGAGAGTACATAAGCACGCGTTTTGGTATTACACAATGTGTAATACAGCTGTATGTTTATTAAACGGGTGATCTCTTCACGCGCAAGTAATAAAATATACTAGTGCGCGTGAACGATATTGCACCAGTGCACATACGATATATAGTAACTCGATTTTTTTCTAACCCTATAGGTAATTAATTATTTTTTGTGATTTATGAGACTTTGTTCTTGCCGTTTTGGCAATATAGTGACATGTCTTACCCGATGTATTTAATTTATTCCCCTTCATTTACTGTCCAGAATATACTGAAATTAAATATATGAATATAAACATCAAACCATTATGTTTTACCCAAATAACTGGTAAATAAAATGCCTGGAATGCAGTTTTAAGAAATAATATTCTATTTTGGTTCTTAAATCCACATCTTCGATAACTTCAATGCAGAACCGGAGGTCTTTATTTACCTATTCCAATTCGACTTTATTTTATTTACCACAGTAGGTTTGTCAATACAGTACGACACGAATATAACGAACACGGATAGAGCGAACAAACGGATGCAACAAAATCCACGATTTATCTCCTATATATTATCATGTAAAATTTACGTACATAACGAACTCTCTACAGCGAACTAACGGATATAGCGAGCTGATATCTGATTCCCGACGAGCCCATCTATCACAAATTAGTGACTCGTACAGCGAACTGTAGGATTACATGAGTTGGGTCGACGTATATCACGATAATGCCATAAAATAGTTTTTTTCTGATCGGTGACCGTCTAACTAATGGAAAGTTTATAGTATCTTTATTCTAAACAATAATACTTCACATACACAATGTTCAACAATATTGCTAAAATCAGTCTGCAACGCCATTTTGAAAACCGCGCCCTCTGCCGGCGGCAGTTGCCAGATCATTCGATAACACCCGTGCACCCGCGGAGAGCGCTCAGTCAGCGCTCAGAAAGCGCCTCGGCCTATTGAACGCATGCCTGGTTCAGGAGATACCCTGACGGAAGTCACGTGATGAAAGTTTGTTTAAGTTTTCAAACAGCTCTGATGGATGTATGTTTATTTAAAAGAGGATCGTTTGTGCGCCAGTGTTTAGGGTAAACGTGTTTTCACTTTGTTGTAATGTGTTGAACAATGAAGTGCAATCCATGAAATTATGTAGACAAGGTAGTTTGACGTAGAATCACGGTATGTATTATACAGACACACAGATAGACAGAGAAACACGCACACACGCACACACGCACACACGCACACACGCACATACATGTTCTGTATCCCTGAATGCTATCTGACTGTCAATCGAATTTAAGATATTGTTGCCCACTAATCAAAACAAGCATGTGTTACTGGTGTCGTTTACGTACCTCTTTACAAATATAGAAATCCAAAAGGAAGGAAACTTAATGTTTAAAGATGTTATTGATTTGATAATCGATTAGATTGATAAATAATATATATCAAAGTGCTAGCTTAACGAATCGACCAAATAAGGACTACAAGGTGTGTATTCAAATACACGGGCGATTATATTTAATTTACATTGTTAGACTGGTATGGCTTTACTCATTGTTGAGACATGAATACATATTTTTCATCTGAATATGAATATTGAATATATAGAGGGCTAAACTATGGTCACCCTATACAAAACTGATTAAATAGCACCTCACCAAGAACAACAAGCTTCTGTCCACAGTTCTGTATCACAGTATCAGGTGCTCCATCCCCACACGTGTATGTCCCTGCGTCAGATGTCTGGATGTTGCTGAGGGTGAAGGTGACATTCCTGGCTGCTCTGTTCCCCTGGTACACCAGTCTGTCTCTGTAGTCGGGGAGTGGGTTGAACGTCCCATCACTATACACTATGAACACAGTAGTACCAGCAGGACTGACAGTGTAGAAACTACTCCCTGTCCCTAGACCTCCCTGTGGAATCTCCCAGCTGAACCTGGCTGTGTCAGACACTGCAGACAACACTGGACTTGCACTGGGTGCACCTGACACAACACCTGCAGGAAGAAGATATTTGGATATTTAGAAGTATCACCGTACTAAACAGTCACGTTTTGTTTGACTAGTTCTGATGATTAAACTAGGAGGTATTCTATTTATCTCTAGTATGCAAGGTAATTACTGTTACATCACCAATCAACACAAAACAGAAGAGAGAATAGTAAATTAATATTACAGTATTGGCACATGTGCCTTATACGAAAAACATACCTGCAATCGCACATATTATAGAAACAGCAGCTATATTCATCATGCTTGTTATCTGCCACCTCGGTGAAACCTGGAATGAAGGCTCATCGTCTGTCATGCATTTGATGCTGGTTTAAAAGAGTGAGTGAGTGAGTTTAGTTTAACACCGCTTTTAGTAATATTCCTGCAATATCACGGCAGGGGACACCAGAAATGGGCTTTACACATTGTACCAATGTCGGGAATCGAACCCGGTTCTTCGGCGTGACGAGCAAACGCTTTAACCACAAGGCTACCCGACCGCCCCTTGCGGGTTTGAGTGTCCATGAGATACGTGTACGAGAGTACCGCCTCCCTGGTCTAGTCGATCAAAACATTTTCAAAGATGGTGCTTGTTGTTACCCTTCATCGCGTTCGACATTGAACGAATAAAATAAGAACTGGTCGGCTTGGAGTCAGTAAACTGGGTCTCCAGTTGGGTATCCATGTTAAACTGTGGCATGATATATCCAGCATTCATCCGGACCCACACATACGTTCACACGCACGTATACAAACCTACGCCCACACACACACGCCGCTGTCAACCTGACTGAAAGACAATTAACCAGATAATATGTATACTAGTATCAATTTTGTAATATCAACTGTTAGGATCAAGGATGAATATCTTCAAAATACCGTCTATTTTCCTGCGCCAAATGATACAACTTGGGTTCTCTAGCCTTGAAAAAAATCTATGTACAATATTTTTCATTGAGGCCAGATTTGGTTATGTACAACATATAAATATAAAAACCAGGTAAAAATGTACATCTGAATCCAAAGTACACCTTTTGTCCTGCGTTCACTTTATATACATAGTATTACATATTTGCATACTTGTGTAAGCAGACCGCCTCAGTGGTCTTGTGGATAAAGCGTCTGTCCGGACGAGAGATAGACACACTCACACACACATTTACATATTTACACACGTGTATGCACGTCGGTATCAGTGCAATAGCCATGTTACCCTGAGCAAGATGTTAAAACTTATTTTACCCCACCTAAATTCACTTGTTTAAACAAATACATGTGACTGCCGTGTAAGGGCCTAAGGCCCAAACTTTGCATAGCTGTAAGATCACAAAACTCGAATCGTATCAGTTACTTACTATATATTACCTGTCAAGATATGTGTTTTTATGAGCCCTCCACGTACACATAACTCATACATTGACGACACATATGGTGTTGGCACGTGGCCAGCAACTCGCAGAGGGTAGTTGGATGCTGCGTTCAGAACACAGAAACACATGTAGCATGTGACTTTGTTCGTAACATGCCTCTGTTCACCCAACAATGAGTGGGTACCCAGTAGGCTGAGATGGTAATTTGACTTTTGACCTTCTAGTGCCTCATGGGCAGCCTGGGTTGTATACACCCCAGGAAGTTAATAATGAAAATCGATTTCACACTGATCTATTGAGGGTAAATAATGTTACGCTTTGAGTATGTATTAGGGTGTGGGTTGGGAGTAGTACAGATATGCACGTTATTATGTACAGATGTAGGCCGCGTTTAAGTACGCGAGGATATCGAGATGTTACTATACATTATGTCATGCAGAAGAAGCGTTCACACATGTGACATGTGGTAAGCCTGGACATATAGGAGAGTACATACCTGCTGAGACTTCAAGTTGTCAGACATAAATCGTTGCTACAGTCGTCGTGTGTAACCGGATAGCTCAACAGGAAGTAATATACAAGGTCGTGTTTACATGTATACCAGTCGCTTTAAACTAGTTCAGGGCTTCTTTCAGTGGCATTTAAAAGTTGGTGTGATGAAGTAAGAGGAGTTATATGGATGAACAACTTCTTTATTACAATAAAGAAGTTGTTCATCCATAGAACTCCTCTTACTAGTTCAGGGCTGTCTAAATATAGCCGATCAATCTACGTCATATGGGTTCAGGTTTAGTGTTACATACATGTACAGCGGCTTTGTTAAAAGTTGAACTGGTGATAGCAAATAAGATCCGTCAAAATGTACTCTTCCAAAAGGAGGGGAGGGGGGTATTCGAAAATAACAGATTATTACAGAAATATAAATATGTATCGTGTGATGGTAATGAATGGATAATACACATGAAGGAACAGGGAAGCTGGAGTTTGCGCTGATTTGATCAATAATGGGTCATGCTCCTCCAATTATCTGAGCCAGTTCGGCAAATGAAAAGGTTTTCCTCTGACGTCGGCGGACACCTGATATGTCCCAGACGTGCTCTATGGGTGGAAGGTCTCATGGCTGATCGTTGCATTCTAGTGAATTGTAGCTGTTGGATGTGTTCAGGAAGTCAAAACGTTGACCAGCAAGGCGCGCAAGTGACACAGCTATTGACGCCAGTATGTTGTCTCGGTAGTTCTGCCAAGTGACCCTTTCATGGACAATACGCAGTCAAAGTCTGTGTGATAATGGAATGTACTCCCTCCTATGAAGTGGCTTCTGAACTAGCAATATGATGTTCTGTAATTCACTATGGCCATCCCCGTATTGTGCATTCTGTGGATCGTACATGTATCTACTGTTGTTGACGGGAGACGAGGGTGACTTTCACGGCTCTCCTTGTCATGCGTAAACTCTAATATAGAAGGGTTGGCAATAAAGAAGACTTAGATCCCTCTGCCCAACAGGTGCACCGCCCTTGGTTGTTATATATAAACTGTAAAACAAACAGATTAACAGATTCCGCCGACACACTCCTAATATTCTCATGTTCTCCTGCTTCTTTCTAACACACCTCTTCTTGGCAATCGAAACCGGACTGATCTGGTTTAGTAGCATAAAACTGAACCATTGCGTCCCAAGGAAGTCAGACATTAAAAGGAGACATTTATAAGTTGGTTGCACTGACAAACACGCCAGGATAAAAAGAGGTTATCACGCATGTTTGTTTGGGGATGTAAATATCCTGCAATAGGAAAAAAACATTGTGACAACTGATCCTGCTAGGCTGGGTCAAGTGTCCTCGCTAAATTGTTTCGCACTGTATATCTCCTAAGTTGGCAAAACTTGTAAAATGCCTGTTTAGTATACTAGGTTTTTCTTTTGATAATGATAGCAATAATTCAAGTAGTTTCTCCAAATTCCGATGGTTAATTCTGACTCTATCGCCGAGTGACAAGTGCGTCTTCATGTGGTTTTGTAAACTCTGAAAGTAGTCTCTACTTGACCTTTGATATTTGCATCTCTATCCGCATATGACCCCAATGAATATCGTTTTTATTCGTTATTCTGCCTGGAAACCTACCAATTATATGATACTATAACTTTTGTTTACTTTAGTCTTGGTTGATCATCCCGTAAATATCCACATAGTAGGACAGACTTTATTTCCCGCACTAGGTACGATAGCGTTAACATTTTATTACCCTTGTTTGACATAAAATTGAGGATGGGGTAAAGAACAAATGCCTCACTTCAATTGGAACAAAAGGTTTCACAAACATGATGATACCAAAATACTTCCTAAAATTGTTGGGGTACACAAGATACCACATGTCCACTGTACATAAAAGTAATGCCTTAAGTCATTGGACAAATATAGTTTATATAATTACTTCTACTATATTTAGACTTTGAAACCCATTTTGTTTCTTTATAGTATAGTACCCAATGTATATGCTATTGTAAACTTTCAAGAATACATGTTAAGCATAAATAAGTATCTAGAACTGACCTGTCTCTCTATTCTAAAGTGACCGGCTCCGGGGTCTAGTGGTAGAGCGACCGCCCGGTGAAAGGAAGGACCGGGGTTCGATCCCCCTGGGTGGGGTATTCTTGTTAAACTGCGGCATAGTATCTCAGTGAGCACTATAAATCTGCATCAGTCCGGATTAGTACAACCGCCACACGCACGCACGCACGCACGCACGCACGTCGTAAAATAAGTGCAATTATCTTGGAGGCGACGTCAAATCTAAAGTCCACACAACGCTTACTCCTTCGTGTTATACATCACTGTGATGTTACATCAGGAATTGAGAGAAGAAATACAGTATGCTATAAGGACTGGGCACAGAAACAAAATATATAAGGGATGCAAAGAAATGTAATACTTTTGCTATTGATTATTATCACCATGTCATATTAAGCTGTAAGCGTAGATGTTCAGGGGAGGTGTATTCCTTTCAACTCTAATTGATGACGTTGATGTTGAATCGTTTGTCTGAAATGGCGATAATGGTGATAACGATGGTGCAGATAACAATGGTATTTATGAAATAACGTGGCATTTTACTGTTACAGAATTCTCTAAGTGTTCACATAACATAAAGCATATCTTGAACAACTTGTGACAATAATTCTACAAATATGAGTAAATATACTCTTCACAAAAAGAAACGCAATACGGAATATTTTTGGCCATCACTGCATCATAAGGGGACCAAGAGGTGCAAAATGAAGAGGTTTAATGTGTTATTGTGTCAGTGACAAATTTCCCAGATCAAAATAATCTCAACAAGGACATGCAAAACATTAGTTGGGAAACATGTACGATTCGGAAAAAAGCCGCTGACCAGATACATTGACCAGATGCAGGGAGTTGTGAAACAAAGGATTTTAGCTGACGACCCTGGGTATATAAACGACCAGACTAAAGGTCTGGGAGGAGAGAGTTTAAACCTGGCCTGCGACTGTAACACTTCCCGATAGAGCACCTGTTGGATGAATTGGATAGACGGCCACGCCGATGTCAACCACACCCCTAGACGTTGCAGCAGTTGGCTGTATCGTTGCAGGCCGAGTGGGCGACGATTCCCCATTATGCGATTCGCATCCTCGTCTCTTCCAAGGGCAGGAAATGTCAAGCTGCTATCGAATCCAACAGGGGACATACGCGTTATTGATGCGAGCTGACCTTCACTTTGGACTTTTCCTATGTTCCGATAACTGAGATGACTACAATAACCAAGTGTTCTCTCCACAACATTTTGGCTCAATACGTTGTACGGTTCCTCGTATAAATCTATTTTCCTACCTCACAAATCTGGCTTTGCTTTTCTTTTGATCTTCTTTTGAAGAGTGTATTACATTGCTCTCAAATTTCAATTGAAACAAATTACAAGGAGACAAACAAAATTATTCACAATGTTATATCAACACATCCGGACGTGCGGATCGGTTGGTGTAAAACGGCCCACTCTACTTCAGAACAAAATAACATTAACAAGCCACCATGCTTTAATCTGGTCACCTTGTTGGTTGATGACATTTCATTCTGTGGATCAGTCGCGTTGTGTCGTCTTCCGAGGGATTGTGGTAGCATCCCAAAATGTTATCCTCTCCAAAGGTGTATATAGATCTCTCTCTCTCTCTATATATATATATATTTGTAATCTCATAGGAAAAGGCAGTGGAAACATGGTGTCTTTATGTCCAGAGCGACTAATCAGTCCCCGCAGTTCTGTCATAGAGATGGCAATAATCAGCCACCATACTTTATACCTGAGCAGGAAGCCCATCGAATGCCATGGCAACTCTCACATTTCACATCCCTGTGTGTTATCAGATCGTACCCAGGCCACCACGTGTCCCTTTGCTGAACTGAATGCTCTACACATTGACATGTCTGTGCATATGGCAATGCTAATATAGAACGCGAATAATCCGAGTTCCGTGTCACCGACATTTGCCTACAATATACACATACAGCGGAAGCTCTCTTGTTCAGACCACTTACAGGAGGAACAAAGGTTCACTATCACAGTCGACATGATGTTAAATTTTAAACGATTGAATAGATAAGGGGCCCAATATTAGTTACAATATTCTGTCTCCTCTGATCGCCACCCGTTCACACTATGTATACATTAACCGATGGTTTGAAACTATTTAGAACCTTTACTACACGAACTTAGCAGTTCAATGACGAACATAATGTAAGTGATAAAACATGAGATCACTAAAGGTTGTCGGTGGCTTTGACATTATTTAATGCGTTCTCTCGAAAAACGCATTTTCTTATAAGGGTCGGGGTTATATGTCATTCCTGGAAACCCCAATACCAACAGGAATGGGATGATCACACTGACATTTTGAATCCTTTTGTCTATGTGCGGTACTTTACAGTTTTATTTGGGGTTGTAAACGAATATTTAGCATGGCGTTTCTAAATTAATTCATATATTAAAGGATGTCCGCTGGAGTGGGATTTGTGTACCTACAGACATGCAGAAAGAAAGATCACATAGTTTAAGTCAATCTATCATCACAATCAAGCTATGGCGCAAACAATAATGTACTAAAACCAAATAAACTGTTTTACATGAAACAAAACGTGAACTTATTCCCTCCACGGGTGCTACCGGTGTGGCAGGATACGCTTACATGTACCTGGTACGAGCACCTGGTATCATCCCTATTTCAATGTGATTATTATTGTCTTTTATAAGTGTATTAACGACACAATTTGACGTTCATACGTTTTTCACGTAAACACTGACGGACTACTTCCACATTCTTTGCGAAATCCCTGGTAATACATACAGAATCGGGGTGGTCGGGTAGCCTAGTTAAAGCGTTCGCTCGTCACGCCGAACACCCGGGTTCCATTCCCGACATGGGTACAATGTGTGAAGCCCATTTCTGGTGTCCCCCGCCATGATATTGCTGGAATATTGCTAAAAGCGGCGTAAAATCAAACTCACTAGCTCGCCGTAAAAGAAGGTAAAAACACTGATGATATCCGTCAGTCAGTTGCCTGCTGGCCATTACACTATAATTTTAATTTCTACTCCATTCAAATTTGTAACAATTAAATGTCATGATGTGTGTCACTCACTCACATACA